GTTTCTGTATTACCTTTAGCAAAACTTTACTCGCTTGAGATATCAAAGAGATTGTCCGATGATTTCCGCATTCTGTTGGGTCACCTCTCTTTGGAATGGACACAAATATGGATCTCTTCCAATCAGTTGGCCAGATAGCTGTCTCCAAATTTCTTGGCATAGATGAGTGAATGCCTCCAGTGCCTTTATTGAAAGATTTCAATTTTTATTCCATCAATTTCCAGTGCCTTGTTCTTTGCGAATTCCTTCAATACACCTGGGACTTCTTCCTTCAGTATCATTGGCTCTTGATCATATGCTACCTCTTGAAATGGGTGACTTTTGGTACAGTGACTCTGTATTCCTTCCACCTTCTTTTGACGCATTCTGCATCATTCAATAATTTGCCCAGAGCATCTTTCAATAAGTCGAGGCTTGGATTTTTTTTCTTCAGTTCCCCCAGCTTGAGAAATGCTGAGCGTGTTCTTCTTTTTTGGTTTTCTAACTCCAGATCTTTGCACATTTTGTTGCAATATTTGACTTTGTCTTCTTGAGCTGACCTTTGAAATTTTCTGGTCCGCTCTTGGACCTCCTCATTTCTTCCTTGTGCTTTAGCATCTCTACGCTGGTGTTTCGTGACTCCTACTTCACCCCTTCCTCCCTTATCTACCTGTCAAAGTCCTATCTATATCAACAGCCATCTCCTATTTCACATCTTATAAAAAGTCTTCCAGTTCTGCCCACTTCTGAAATAAAAATCTCCTCCCAGGCTCATTCCCTACAGTAACATAGATACTGGCTACCTGGATTCAGAGTTATTTATGTAAATGCCTACTTCTCCAACTATATTCTGACTTTCTGAATGTCATATGGGATTTCTTGAATGAAGATGTTAGTCGAGCTCGGTACTAGGCACAGAAAGAACCCTGAGCTATTTGCTAAATTAAATTGGCAATGATACAATCCGCTCTCTTTAATTTTCTTTAGTAACTAAAATATATTTCCTGCAGTGAGATAATTTTCTGAAAAAAAATTGGAATGCTTACTATCAAAAGCCAAACTCATCTCGGACCTCCTATGCCAAAACTGCCTCTCCATCTGTTTGGAAATGCAAGCATATTCCAGTCTGGATTAACCTGCCAGATAAATTGAAGGAAGGATGTGGAGTCCTAGAACAATTATTTGGCAGGAATTGGCTTTCTTAGCATCTTACTTTGAAATCCAGGATTTCTCTGTTTGATCTTTTTTCCTGTGACTCAGAAACCAAACCCTTTTAATTTTGCAAACTTATGCAACAGGCAAAATTATCAACAATTTGGGAAATGGTCAAATGTCCCCTTTTTTAAAAAGAATTTACAAAAATCACAAGGTTTTCATCTTTGGATATGAGTATCTCATTAAAGAATGTAGACCATTCTAAGACTTCTAGTTAAACCATTGTTGTTGTTAAGTGCCGCGGAATAAGTTGCAACTCATAACAACCTTGTATAGGGTTCCCGAAGTTGTAAATCTTTGTGGGAGCAGAAAGCCTCATCTTTCTCCCATGGAGGGGCTGATGGGCTTGAACTGCCAACCTTGTGGTTAGCAGTCCAGTGCTTATCCTACAGAGTCACCATGTTCCTGTTAAACCATGGTGGATTGCAATTACATTGGTTTTTCCTCCCTTCCTGGAGTTCTACTAAAATTAGAACAAAGGAATGTTTCAAAGACATAAGCCCCCAAGAAGAAGGAAAATGAAAAAGGAGACAACAGGTCCTG